ATTTAGTGTCTCCTGTGGTGCCCCCCCCCCCCGTTCTGCCCCGTGGTTATACTTTCCCAGCTCCATATAGTTGTTCGCTCGGAGATACAAAAGCCATCACATCTGCTTCTTGTATTAGGAAATTTCTCCCTCCTTGAATACTATCAAGGAAACACAAAGTAAATCTTCCTTATAAATGCTTTGAATGTCCCGTTTACGTTCTCCTAGTCAGAATCATCTACCTTCTTTGCCCAAGTAAAAACGTAGTACCTATGCTTAGTTTTGTTCTTCTTCCCAACACTCAATTAATGGCTTCTTAGAGAGTGGAGGCTATGATACCAAGCCAAAAACAAGAGCAAAGCCCGCTCAAGTACTAACTTAATTGTGAGGCCAACTGTCTGGTCTCCAAGAATCGTCAGCCAAAGGGCTTCTGCCCTTACAGCTGCCAGGAGGAAAGTGGAAGGGACACCCTCAATTTTAGTTGAGGATTGTTGCTCAAAAGGGATCTAGTATTCCCTGAATGAGGAATGAATAGAGGGGATTTTGTTAAAGACAAATGAATGCAGAAGTTTTTATAGTATAAAATGGGTCTCTTATTTCCTAAGATTGAATTCAAATGGAAGACTTCAGAACAAGTTCCAATATGAACCAGGTAGTAAGAAGTGTGTAGAGATCTAACACTCAGATGACTCAAGAACTGGGCCTCGCATAGTTTCATAGGGGCTATGTGGCTTGGGTTGCTCATCAGCTGTTCCAAGACCTGCCTCTCTTTTAGGAAATTCTAATTTGCAGATTGATTTCTGCAATTAACTCTTCACTGGGTATTGCCATTTCTCTCTCCACTATAGGTTAATTTACTGACCAAGGACATATAGGAAGTGCTATTTGTGTTACAAGGACTGGTGGGTAAAGTTTGTGACATTCACAGCTTTCTTGGGGACGCAGCACACAGAGATGTATGGAATCTCTTTCAAAGGGTTTCTGCAATAAAGTGGAGGTTTTCAAATAGCCTCCCAAATTTTAGCCCGGGACAATTTTATTACTTTAATTTCTCAAACTAGAGTAAGGGGAATTCACAGCAATCACTCCTTACAGGCAAGTACAGCAGCTGGCACACATCTGCCTTGCTGCCAGTGTCTGTAGTGGGCAGGAATGTCCAACTTCCAGCCTTTAAAACTTGGAGCTGTAGGAAGGGAGCCTAACTTGCTCACTGTGCCCTGGAGTCCTCAGAACGGGATGAATTAATGTCATCCAGCCAAGCCAGTGGTCCTAGCCTCCAGCTAGAAAGCAGTGACTACATGAAAGAAAGTGGAAGAGCCACAGTGCCTTTATTATGTGATTAAATTGTAATCACCTTTTCCTAAAGGCATCTTCCTGTTTTCCCTGGAGGTGGTTGTTTAATGGCCACATTGGTGCAAAGATGCCAGCTCCGTGCAGCCCTTCCTGCCTGCCCGGGAGGGTCCTGTGCTCAGCAGGCTCACTCAGGATTCTGGATGGGAGGCAGTTTTGATCTTACAGGAGGCCACAGAGAGAGCACCTAAGGACTTTGACTCCTGGTGGTAAGAAAGACATCCTAGGGCTACAGCAGCCTGACACAAGTGAACTTAGGACACAAGATTCAGAGCTGTTCACTCTCAGGTCTGTGTGGGTGGTTGGTTCCCAGATCAGTAGAAGCAGCAGCGGTCCCAATACCTTAGAACTTGTGAGAAATTCTCAGGCCTCAATCCACACCATTGAATCACACTCTCAAGAAGGGAAAGGAAACTGTAGGAACATGTCGGCCGGGTCTTCCTGATGCTTTCTTAAAGAAACTTTGCGAAGCCTTGCAAACTAAAGAATAATGCTCCCAAATCCACTGCCATAACATAGGTAGAGCCATCTTTTAAACACAACCAGAGCAGAGAATAGAATGGGGGTGATGAACTTAAAGTCTTTCCTAAAGCCACCGGCAAGGCAGGAACCTCTTCAGCAAGTTGACCTTTCTCATGTACCCCTAAGTAAACTGCACACAAGACCTAGCAAGTATAGGAGACAAAGATGATTACTGACTTAGTACCTTCTGGTTTATATCCCTAGCTGAACAATTCAGTGTTGGTCACCGAGTCAACCATGTGACTATTTGAAGGCTCGGATTCTCTTGCCAGTGCTCTTATCAGCCACGTATGTGGGTCAGGGAAACTTATGTAGGCAAGGCTCCCAAAGCCTCATGGGCAGGGAGAGCTGTGAAGTCAGTTCCTACATCCTAAGCAAGAGTCCTATTCCAGGGAGCCAGGCTGGATGATTTGAACTGGAGGACTACTGAGTTGGGAGGAAGGTCACCTGGCTTCCCTTGTGGCAGCATTGCTTTGGTAGGATCCACTCCAAGCCCAAATAATGAGCTAGAGAGTCGAGCTTCAAAATGATGGTCACAGGATCAGAGAAAGGAAAGGAGGAGGGACACAAGTGTCTGCTATTGATTTTTTTTTTTTACTGTAAACAAAGGGTAAGAAAGACACATCAGAATTCTTTTCATTTAAATTTTGTCCCAGGAACCCAAGCAGTGTGGAGTACTGAGACTATGACCAACTGGCCCCAGCCCCATGGCTTCATATACTCCCTGTTGGAGTTAACTCGTTTGTCCAGTGACCCAGGATGGTAAAGGATTAATAAGAGGCAGAACTGCGGTGGGGTGGACCTAAGGGGTAGGTCTTAGAACTGATGACCCTTACAGCAGTGTGGAAACATTTCCGCAAAGCTTCCTGAGAACAGTACCATCGACTTTCTCAGCTCAGGCACGTGCCTGCTGAAGACTAGCAAGGCTAATGGCCTGCAGGGAGCACAGGCTAGAGGGCGTCAATCATTAGCAGGACCCCCTTCCCCTAAGTCCCTTTCAATAGGGTGTGCTGTGGTGGGTAGGAGGGCCTACTCAGAGCCAGGTACACAGCTGTCCCCTTCCTCATAGTTTTTCTGGCCGCTCCTTGCTGCAGGAGGGTTTGGAAGGAGGCTTCATGACTCACAGTTTTTTTCCCCTAAAGGGAACTAATCCAAGATAACTTTACTTCCGGGGGGGGGGGGGGTAAGGGGGGAAAGCCATGAATAAAGTTCACCTGAGGCACCACGGAGCCCCCTTACCTTCCTCATTTAGAATCCAAGGCAGAAATGCAAACACCGATTCAAAGCCACAAGTGCCCTCTTCAAAGGCACAGGAGCCAGCGGGCAGGTCCAGGGCATTGGAAAGCTGCAAGGCTGCGGGCACAAAGGGACTTTCAGTTTGGGTTTCTGCCTGGCAGCATCCCACCAGCCCTGGGAACTACCTGGGGAAGGTTGGGCAGACATGTGAGAAGGAGGCAGAGAAGGATGCATGACCTCTCTCAACACTCCAGGGACCCTCTTCTGTGAAACTCCACGCCCACCCCCATCCCAGGCTTGACCAGGGCAGGGAGTTTAGTGACTGCGAATGATCCAGAAGAGCCGTTGGATGACTGAGCCAACACCGGGAGCCCCACCCTACCAGCCCTACCAGAGTAGGGCTGAGTTTCCAGGACGTCCTGGGGCGCGCGGGGAGGGGTCTCCCTATTAGTTCTTACCTTGCACTACCAGCAGGATTCCCCCTAGCAGCATAGTTGCACTTCAGGCAGGAAGACCCTGAGAGGGCTGCTGGCTGCTGGCTCACTAGGACCCTCTGCTCCGGAGGGAAGGGAGAAGGCGAGGCAGGGAGCTGGGGGCCCGCGGAAGATGCCACAGGCAACAGCTAGCTTTTCAACTTCGTAGAGCCCGCGGAGCCGCAAGCCAAGACGCTAGTGTGCAGAGCACGCTGCGCAAGGCTGCAGCACTCGCCACTTGTAGCCCAGCTGGGCGCAGGACGACCGCTGCTGGGCTGCTGGGCTGGACAGGGAGGAGACAACTGCCCACTTGGGAAGGGCTAGCCACCACTGGGGGGAGAGGAGAGGTCAGCACGCGGTGTAGTCCAGAATTTTAAAGCTGGGGACCAGACTTCTTGCACACACTTGGAAGGGGCGGTCCCTCCGCTGGGTTGTGACCAGAGGCTTCTGTCCCGCCCATTCGCGGTGGGAAACAGCTTATTTCAGGGTCCAGCCTTCTCCACATCTAGCTTGTCAATCTCTCGGGACTGATCCTAATTTTAACCATTTTCCCTCAGAATGGAAGGGGATGGAATTCTGCTAGGGCTTTCTAGAGGAAATTTTGGATATGGTGGGGGGTGGGATAGGCTTCAATTCTCAGAAGGTTCAGAATTAATGGCCCAGTGTTGCTAACCCTGGAATAGCACCCCCATTTTTAGCCAGAGGAATGTCTGGCATGTTTGGTGCTCAGCATTCCCTGGTCAAGTGAAATGGGGGGCATTCCTCTTCTCCAAACAGCCATCATAGTGGAAGGTTGGGGGGGGGGCATTTCCTTGAGATCTATTTGTTACAAGTTTGAGCCTGAACAAGTCTCTAACAATGTACTCACCCAGTGAATTGGTTTGTTTGTTTGTTTGTTTCCTTAATTTTCTGTGTAAATTTGTGCAGGCGATTCTGTGACTAGAGTAGGGTTTTTTGTTTGTTTGTTTGTTTGTTTTTTATCCTCTGAAGAGTTCCACGCTTGAGTCCCCCATCCAGTACTCCATGACGCTGTACCTTTCTAATCAATTTCCAGCCTTGGCTGGCCTGGAAACGCCGAGGGCCACTGGTTTAAAACACCCCTGTTCAGCTGTCCAGTCTCTGCTCATTGCCTTTAGTTTGACTTCTCAAGCCTGTTTTCCCTCCCTTCCACTAGTCTGGATGCTCTTTCCCCCTGACCCTTGGCTCTAGAGTAACTAAAGCTCTTCCCTTAGTCTCCGGCTTCCTTTTCTGATCACTCCTTCAGTGTCTTACACAGTGCCTCTGAGGTAAATATGACCATTTGCTGATGACTCTCAAACTATATCCTTGCCCCAGAAGCTCAGTATTGTAGGTTCCACTCTCACTGTCACCTGCATTTCCATGCTTGTGAGTAGTCTAGTAAACTTAACAGGTCACAATGATAACAATTCACATTCTCTAACTTCCTCTCACACATCTAAGTTAACAGAGCTACTTTCCAATTGCAGGGGACAGAAAAACTTCAGAGTCAAGAGTCATGTCTGACTGTTCTCTTCCTCCCAAGACAATGCCAAATCTTGCCTGTTCAGAATGGACATCACACCAGGTACTGACCTGCTCCAGGGTCACAGTCAGGCCTTGATTGATCCATGCTGGCATTTTTATCAGTCTGGGACACCACAGTGACCTCCTGATCCTGATCGTCCCACTTCTTCTGCCTGGCCCACCATATTTCCTTCCTAATACAGTCATTAGGGCCTCCCTCTAATACAGAAATAGGGC